TGATCGTGAGGGTGTGTAGATCACGTTGGTATATTCATTTGTCCATTTTGAGCAATGTATGAGAAGTTATTTTGAACGGACGGTTATGTGCTTTAAAGTTAACGTTTTTATAGTTATTTCGCATATAGGTGACACGTATCCCGAAGACGAGCGTGCACATTCGAGGCAGGGGGGCTACGACCCTTCTACATATCAGTGAGTGGGCTTTTGTTTTCCGTATATACCTATATACATGTTATTTCCCAGAAACTAGTATAAATGCCTCGTTTTACGTTATTAATTTTATATGATTGATGATATTACATGATTAGTGGCATATGAGTTGGTTTATATATTTATTCTTAAGTCATTTACATGTATGTTGGTGCTGTGGCGGCCCAGGTAAGTGCCAGGTAAGCATGGTTTATCATTTGCATTAAGTAGCGATTAGAGGTGCTTAGAGAGCTCATAACCTGCACCCCCGGTGTTAGTGCTCCCGCCAGAGTAGGGCATAGTCCTTCACGTGTCGTTCACCTCCCGCACCACACACTCAGCTTGAATCCAAGTTAGGTGCACAGTCTTGTCGTACAGACCACTATAGGTGGTTCCGACTCGTAGGTGACCCGCGATTATTCGCACAGCCTTCACGTGATCGTAGTACTAGAGCGTTTATATGTATTGCACCCAGGCTTGTCGTACAGACCACTATAGGTGGTTCCGACTCGTGGGCAGGTTTAGTGATTGAGTTGTGATTTGAGCTCTAGATTCAGCCGTACAGGTCACTTAGGGAACTCCGGCTGCCAGACCATTATAATATTGATGTGATATACATACCTGAGCACTTGCATGTTATTATGAGGCCTTGAGCATGTTGGCATACCCTTGAGTATACTTGGCATATTTATACCTACGTTTATATGTTTATTTTCTGGGAAGTATACAGGTTTTACGGCGAGGGGTTATATTACGTTTTATGAAATGGTTTTCTAAGAGATTTGTTTTGCCCACTCACGCTTTTGTTTTTGCGCCCCTCCAGGTTCTAGTAGCCTAGCGGGTCTGGTGGTTCGTTCGGGGGACGTCCCGGCATTCTGACAGATACTCACCTACGTAGGGTCACCTTCGGGTGTACTTTTGTTGTATTGTTTCTTTTGGACTGCTGTAGGCCTTAGGCTCTGAATTCAGTGTCGTATTTACGCTAGCACATATTCTATCACTCTGTAATTGCTAGTTTTTAAATTATTTACACTTTTATTTTACTGTTTTAGCTTCCGCACTGTGCACATGGCTACGTCACTTCCACGTGACGGCCAGCATGCCCTGATCTCGGTCGGGGTGTGTCACTTATGGCTACTAATTTTGTGCAATTATTTTGTACAATAAAACATGCATATTGACTATTGTTAAATACAAATACACTTACATAACTGCATTAATCAAAGAGTCCTAAACGTGATAGGAAGAGTTGGAAAAATGATTTGTGGCATGAATCAAATTACCCTCAATTCGAACGGATTACTTGAGTGATTTGTCCACACGATTAAGTTTTTAGATCATGCTTTGAGAATGTTTTGGTAAAAAGCACTTTGACGTATCAAGGTCATATAAGTACTTATGCCCTCTAATGAATTGTGATTATCACGCAACGTAACATTTTTTAAATGACAAAATTCATTACGTTAATCCCATAGGCCGTAGGATCTAAATCATAGGTTTTGGGCAATCTACACCTACACACAAAGCTAGTCTTATGACCACTCAATACTACGGTCTGGTGGTATTCATCTTCACTTGAAAGTGAGAGACCTTAGGTTCGAATCTCGTGGATGGCGAATTCGATACCAAATTAGGCCACCCATTGTGTGGCTTCACCGAACTCCTTATTCTCTTAGTGCAAAAATATTTATGTACTCAAAAAAAAAAAAAAAAAAAACCCTAAACCAAAATTTATGAACTCTAAACCTTGACAGATCTTTCAAAATCCTAAATCCTACGAGTCAACCCCGGACATTAAGAAATATTTTAAATCCTTTATAAAAAAAAAATAAATGAAAAAAACATGAAAATTTTGAGTTTTAACAATAAGGACAAAATAAATGGTAAAATAAATAGTACCAGAATTGAATTTTTAATGTAAAAATGTGATTTTTCGTTAAAGTGAACATTACCAAAAGCTTTTCGTTAAAGTTTCCATAAAAAAAATACGTGTAGGACAAAATGGTAATCTTCAATATCTTTTATCTAGTAATGGATCCACAATGCAATTAAATTTGTGGCCTATCCTAAAGTATTTAGTTAAATTTGTTATTTTTCTTTGAACATGATTTTTTTCTTAAAATGTATGTCTAATTGTTTTAGGTTGATTCTCGTCAAAAGCGAATTTGAACTATATTATAAATAACCGATTGTGAGACTTAGCCTGCTATTCACTTTTTAGTGTAGAGAATATCGTTTCTTAGAAAAAAATATACGTGTAACTTTATATGTAATCTTAATTCATTCTAAGGTCAAGGCGTTCATGATCCGATGCACTTTTTATGCCCATTATGTATCCCTAGCTCTTCCATGAAAAAGGACTTTCGTGACTTCACAAGTAATATTTTTTTTTTTTAGGTAAACTGGATTAATAACCACTTCACAAGTAATTTATGATTTTCATTTTTTGTCAAGCCAAAAGTAATTTATGATCATGAAATCCAAAAACCAAGGAGATTTAAGACCTTTTCATTAAAGTTTACACAAATATGTCATTTTCTATTAATTATTAATTTGCTTGAGCTTCGACAAGTGAAATGTTAAGGATATTCTATCTTAAAAGTAGAATTTTAATGAGATGATAGAGAGTTAATAAAAAGTTTAACTCTTGAGAGAGTTCTTTTAGCATTTCACTTTCGGTAAACTTGAAAAATAAATCATATAGACTTTTTATCTTTCCCCCTCACTCGTCTGAACCTCTCTTTCTTTCTTTTCTCATCTTGCATCTTTTTCCCTCTCCTGTGATCCTCTCTTTTTGAATATTTTTGTTCAGTATAAGTTTTAAGATTTAAAAATAATTTTAAATCTGTTTGAATCCAAATTTACATCATCGGCCCGCGCAATCAAGGCCGTTGAGTGAGCATAGCTCTCAATAGTTTGATGGAAAAGTGAAGATAATTTTTGTCATTATTAAAGGATAATATTATGGTTTTTATCATAATAATTATCTTTTGATATGAATTATCCTAACATCTTATTCAACCAGATAAATATGATGTGAATTATATCCCAAGCGAGCAGTACAGTTCCAGTTGATTTGGAATATCTGCCGGCACATGGAAGCTAAAAATAAATTTGAAATGTATTCAGATGGGGTCAGGATGCATGCCATAATAAAGGTGATGGCTTTGGGTGATGAGACAAGCCTAGAAAAGCTAGGTTTGTAATGATGATCTATTAGAGTTGCAATTAAACTCTGCAACATTATCTATTATCTGACCGTGGAGGGCAAGTACTTCTATTCTATAAATACAGATGCAGTGGCAGCAGGAAAGGGGCATTCAAAGGCCGAGACCTGTTCCTTCTTCGGTCGCAATCCCAAGATCAAAAAGTTAGTATCACGCTTAACGCAACATCAACAAAATTTACTCCTTGACCGAGCTTGGCCGGCGAGTTGGCACAACCCGCATCAACCGAAGGACGTAGTTAGCTCATTAGTTACTCGGCCTGCAGACCAACAAAATCTCAAACCAAACAAGTTTTTGAATCTTAAAAAAATTTATTTAAAAAAAAATATTCTCAAGAATTGTTTTGAGAAAAATAAAATTTTTGAATAAGATACCAAACACGTTCTAAATTTTCTTTTGGAAATATTTATTTTTTGAAGAATACATTTTTTTCACAAGGCAAACAGCGACGCGAGTGGCTGATTTTTGGTGTCTTTATCTAATTTCGGCGTCTGTGAGCTTCCTCAACGGCAATTTAAGCACTGAAACACCCGCAGCCGCCCGTTCATTTTAAATCACAAAACCAACGGTCCAGATCCACACTACCCGCCACATTCCTACACCGGCCTCATCGGATCAAACATCCGCCTCCTTCCCTGTTTCGTTTTCTGTCCTCCCTCTGTCTTTCATGATTTAAAAGCAAGCACGCTTCTCTCTCTCCACTCTCTCTCTCTCCTCCCTCCGTTTCTCTCTCTAAAACTATTCATCCATTTATAAGTCCACAGATTTTCTCTCGCTCTTTCCAGAGGCTTCCAATCTCCGTATTTCTCAGTTATTTCTCAAAATTTTCTCTCACTTCCCTTCGTTTTCCTCAATTTTCTCGGAAAATTTCGATTGTTTTGGTTTGAATTCAGCAAAATCAATCTTCTTTTCTTTTTTGAGCTTGGAAAACCTCGCATTTGCGGCTGCAATAGTGTGCGTTTTGGGGTTTTGCAGAGAATTTTGGAGCAGAAATTGAGTTCCAGCTTCCTCTGTTGGGACTCTTTCTCTCTGAGTGAATTTTAGACCGTTCTATCCAGAATCACGAGCTGTATTTACCGTTTTTCCCAATTCGCCAGGCGGAGTTTGAATTTTGCCTACTATGCATGTTCTTCGAAACTCCCTGGTAAGCATTTTGTTATGGATTGTTGGAATTTTGGACAGATGGGTGTTTTGAATTTTCTGTTTTCTGTGTTTGGATGCCGAGAAAATGGAGGAAACTGATGGAAAGTCAGCTGCTCTGTGTCGTTTGAATTCCAAAACATTGTTAAAGTAGTTGCTTTCCTGCATTTTCTCAATTTTCTCAGCAACCAAGCAATTCATTTGTACGTTTAGCATTCCAAAAGCTGTGTGCTTTTTCGTTTTAATGCAGAGTTCATAAGGTTTATGATATCGAAGGTCATTGAGATGGACAGTTCGGAGAGATAGATTGCGCAAATTCCAAGATTCTGCAAATTCGAAGCTTGAAAGGAAATCTCAGTCTTTTGTGTTTTCTGTTGAAAGATTGTTAAATTAGTTTGTTATATATTTCGGCTGTGTAACTTGTTCGAGGAGGCGGATACAATGGCTGTTGCACATTTGAGCATGATGATCTCAAAGTTACAAAATCTATCCACTTCGGACCACTCCTCCGTGGTTTCGATGAACCTATTTGTGGCGCTACTTTTAGCTTGTATTGTGATCGGACATCTTCTCGAGGAGAATCGATGGGTGAATGAGTCGATCACCGCCCTTTTGATTGTGAGTATTTGCTTAGTTACTGCTTAAACAAAACAGAACTTACGGAAAAAAAGTTTGAATTATGCCCTTGGTGTGTTTTGACAAATTGTGATTGATTTTGTATGGTTCGTTTGTAGGGGCTTTGTACCGGAGTAGTTATTCTTCTGATCAGTAGAGGAAAAAGCTCGCATCTTTTGGTTTTCAGTGAAGATCTTTTCTTTATATACCTCTTGCCGCCTATTATTTTTAATGCCGGGTGAGTTTATTCTCTGTTTGTATATTTTCTGGCATGTATGGTTATACAGTGATGTATAGTTCATGGTTGTTTTGCTCTTTCTACTTCTATTTATGGGTTGATGTTTTCTGTTAAAATAATATAGCTTGCATATTACCTATTGTGTCGTCTTTTCTATCACAGATGATAGTTTTCTTTGAGATGTTTTTTTCTAGGATTTTTGTTTTATATGTCACAAAAATGTAGTAGTAGTAGCTTATGATAGCACTACAAGACTGAAAATAACTTACGCTGCAAGATAGCATGAGTATTGAGATATTATGGTATATGAAGGTCTCAAGATCCCGTTCTATCTTTGAAAACTTAAATCAGTTGTGCCTATTTCCATCTTACAAGCAGAACACCAATTCTCTTTTTGTATCGAAGTTTCCAATTTTGTGTTGGTTAATCTCATATTGGTAGGTAATCAATTGGCTTTTTCTTCTTCGAGCTTATGATTCATGTTTTGGTCTTTGCTATGTGTATCAGGTTTCAGGTGAAAAAGAAGCAGTTCTTTGTTAACTTCATGACCATTGTAATGTTTGGTGCTATTGGTACATTAGTATCCTGCACTATCATATCATTAGGTATGCTCGTAACTCCACACATGATGTTTCCCCGATGTGCATAGTGCGGTTATCACTTATGAGCTATACTCAAATTTGAACAGTTAACTTACTTTGTCTTTGCTTGATGCAGGTGCTACACAATTCTTTAAGAAGTTGGACATTGGAACTCTGGAGTTGGGGGACTTACTTGGTATTATCACGTTCTTTGTTCCATTTGTTTCTTTGGATCTATCTGTGTTCTAACTATTTTAATTTCCTATTTGTAGCAATCGGTGCAATATTTGCTGCAACGGATTCTGTTTGCACGTTGCAGGTATGGCATATATCCATGTTGCATACGTTTTCAAACAAGTAAAATACGAATAGGTCTACACTAAGTTTGTTACCCAATTGTTCAGGTGCTCAATCAGGATGAGACACCTTTACTCTACAGTCTTGTATTTGGAGAGGGTGTCGTTAACGATGCGACATCTGTGGTCCTTTTCAATGCTATTCAGAGCTTTGATCTCACCCACATTGATTCCAGTATTGCTTTGCACTTTATGGGCAACTTCTTATATTTGTTTTTCGCAAGCACTATGCTAGGAGTGTTTGTAAGTCCCTCTCTCTTTTCTGCGTGTCCATATATACAAGTGTGCTATATTGGTATTTTCCCCCCTTCCTTTTTGTACCTTAGTATAACTTCTGTCTCTTGTAGGCAGGGCTGCTTAGTGCTTACATTATCAAAACGCTTTATTTTGGAAGGTATATGGTTATTAATTTATATATATTCAAGTTATGTGTTGTGCACTCCGCAGCCAAGTAGAGAAGATATTTTTGCTGACACAACCTGGTTTGTAACATCATTCAGGCACTCTACGGATCGTGAGGTTGCTCTTATGATGCTCATGGCATACTTGTCATATATACTGGCTGAAGTAAGCTTCTCTTCTGCTCTTCCTTCTTACCGGCTTCAAGTGTGTAGTTAGATCGTATTGCTTTGGTCGTATAAAAACTATAGTAATGACATATTTGATGTGTGTTGCAGTTATTCTATTTGAGTGGCATTCTCACTGTGTTCTTTTGTGGGATCGTGATGTCGCATTACACTTGGCACAATGTGACTGAGAGTTCAAGAGTTACGACCAAGTATGGCTTCTTGGATATTACCTCCAAGCCATTTGAATGTAACGGTCCTGTTTAGGACACAGTTTAATAGGTCGTTTAACTAATGATTTCAATTTTTCTACACTTACAGGCATGCTTTCGCAACCTTGTCATTTGTTGCCGAAACATTTATCTTCCTTTATGTTGGTATGGATGCCTTGGACATTGAAAAGTGGCGATTTGTAAGTGACAGGTATGTCCTTGTTACATATAATGTTTGAACACTGTACATATATGTTCATAACACGAGGACATATACCAGTTTCGGTGGATTTACATGTGGTGCTTGACTTTGCATTCGCAGTCCTGGAACATCAGTGGCAGTGAGTTCAATACTGCTAGGTCTTCTTATGCTTGGAAGAGCAGCTTTCGTTTTCCCCCTATCATTCTTGTCGAACTTAACAAAGAAAAACCAACGTGATAAAATTAGCCTCCGGCAGCAAGTAAGCACTCTGTTCCTTCAGCGACGCTACTTTTTTCTTTTCCTTCAGATACAGTGAACGATCAAATTAAACCAACATTTTGTTTTCCTTCCTGCAGGTTATAATATGGTGGGCTGGTCTCATGAGAGGTGCTGTGTCTATGGCACTTGCTTACAATCAGGCAAGTTATATATTACTTACAACCTACTGGTCATAGAGAAAAGTAAAAATTGGCGTTCCATGGGAACATATACGACCGATTCCTATACTACAAGAAGGAAAGGATCTAATACAGTTTTTCATTGTATACAGTTTACAAGGTCAGGCCACACGCAGTTGCGAGCAAATGCAATCATGATCACTAGCACGATAACTGTTGTTCTTGTCAGCACAGTGGTAAGACATCTACTCTGGATTCTGTGTATTCTAGCATTGTCTTAAACCATCCTTGGTTAATCATGGAACTTGTGCACGTTTTTGTTTCCTCATTGATCCTGTTTTGATACGAATAATTGTGCACGTAGTCTGCCAAAGATTTATCCGTTTCTCGGAGAATTAGCTGAGTGGTCTACCAGAAGTTTAGTAGTTCTATCATGCTTAATCTTTTATTATATTTGCCGTGGTTCCAACGTGTCATTTGACTTTGTTCAGGTTTTCGGATTGATGACGAAACCTCTTATAAGGTTCTTGCTGCCTCATTCACCAAAACAAACAACCAGCATGTTGTCGTCAGAACCAACCTCTCCAAAATCAGTCATTGTTCCACTTCTAGGGCAGGATTCTGTAGATGATCTTGTTGGCCAAGATATTCGACGGCCGGCCAGCTTACGCGATCTTCTGACAACTCCAACGCACACAGTCCATCGCTATTGGCGTAAGTTTGACAACGCATTCATGCGTCCAGTGTTTGGAGGCCGGGGTTTTGTTCCCTTTGTTCCCGGGTCACCAACTGAACGGGACAACAACGTTCAGTGGCAATAAGAGCATTGTGAAGATATAGTGGAGCAAAATGTGAAATAAATTATACCATATGCTCACTTGAACGGGAGATTTTTCAGCGTGACAGCTACACTGGATAGTACAACACGTGTCACTGTATAAATGGTGGGATATGTATGTTAAAAAGTTAATAACTTAAAAAATAAAATTTCCCACTACTTTTGTTAAAACACGTGGTGTGCCATTTATGTTCACGTCATAATGAAAAATTTCTCTACTCGAACCCATTGAGCACGTGATATATTTTTCGAGGTTTGCTGCTATATAGCTTATGAAGGTAAGAAATGTACCATCATCTATGTGTATTTTGTTTCGGTCTACTGTGTATTTTGTATAGCTTGTTCTTTTACTTGCTCTAATCATCGGATTGGGGTTGTTTCTTGTCACAAACACATCGGTTGAATCTGAGAGCTCAATGTAATGTAATGTAATAATGTTTTGTTTCCGACAATGATTGTAGTGTTTGCTTTTTGTTTCTGCAAATTAACATGCGTTGAATCCATTTTGTTGTTAAGTGCCTTGCAAATTAATATTCATAGCCAGTGTTTGAAATGTCGGTTGTTGTTGGAATTGATATGTAAATGTCAAAAATATTGACGGATATATCGGTTGTATTTTATGGAAACTAGCTCAAAAAGATGAAAATTTAAAATGAAATTGTAGGAAGTATCAAAACTGATTTGGATTCGTGTTGATACAAGTCTCGATGATCATCGGACATTTGAGTTGCCTCAATGCATTTTCACGTGGAAGACACTCTTGACTTCGAAGGTGGCCTCAACTTGTATTACTTATGCGGCTCCTGTTGCATCGAAGTAATTATAAAATGACAAAAATATTCTTTAATAGTTGTCAAATTATTTTGGTTAATTGTTTATTAAATTGAGGGTATCTTTGTTATTTTGATTCTTATTTAATAGAATTTTTCGTGGAATGATCAAAATGATTGATGGTGGACAAACTCACGCACCACTTTTATAGATTTCAAATCTCAAAAACCAAGGTAACACATTATACCAACCTCATGATCATTTTGGCTAAAAAATCGAAATATATTTGTCTTTATCAACTATTCCACGAGAAGAATCCATAGGAAAGGCATCTTCTCCGGATTTCTTCCACCAAATCCATCAAATCAAAGGATCTGAACTCTTGAAATTTGATTAACGGTTAAAGTTATTATAACTTTATATCTTTTAAAGGAGCCCCTGTTTGTAGCCGTTTAATCAAATTTCAAGAGTCCAGATTCCTTGATTAGGTGGATTTGATGGAAGGGATCCGGAGATGATAATTTCGCGAATCCATAAACCAAATATAAGCAAAGCAAAATAGCAGATAACCCTTTATTCATATTGTCCATCAATTTCTTTATTTTGACAAACGATGAGACAAGTAAAGCAACAAATATACATACTTATCACGCGCACGAACTCAGTAAACCTCAGTTCTTGCGACCTTTGTGCTTGTAAAAGGCAATCAATTTCTTTTTTCCCGACCACTGCACCCAGGCACCAGCCAAGTAGTTGTCGCCGGAATCAGCCAACGATTCATTCCTCGCCGCAAAAAGAAGCGCAAACAGTTTGCCTGCTTTGAATACGGCGGAGCCACCCGAAACCAATTTCTCAAAAACCAACTGTTTTCTGACATCCTTGTTGAACTCAGAAACACTCCACTTTCCGAGTTCTACCACCGACGGGTCGCTGATGTTTACGGGTTTTCAAGAATCTTTCGCAGCGCTGACAAGGGGAACGAGTAGAACAAAGAATGCGACAAGGCAGTGAGGACGCATCGTGACCAATGAATTTTATTCAAGTGCATTACTTTGGGAAATTCAAATTGTAGCTGTGAAGAAAATTGTTAGTATATATAACGTAAAAGGGCGATCAGAAGGGTCGGGGGAACGTCTATCCAAATAAAAATATTCATATTAACTAAGTCATTAAAATATATAAATGTAAATATTCATTTTACGTAAGTAATTAAAGTGTATTAAAATAAAATTATTTATATTAACTAAGCCCTTAAACAATGAATCAAAACGATGGGATACGATGTATCTGAACGTTTAACAAACGTGATTCGTTTGGTTATCGTCTACTTTAGAAACATTAACAAACATGATTCTTTTTTATGTTCCTCGACTTCGGATATATTGACAAACATGATTTTCATTTGACTTTCGTCTAGATCTACATATTATGTTTGTTTATTTATATGATATATTTGATTGCCTAATGCCCTTTTGCTGCTGATCATCACCTCAATTAATTCTTAGGAGTTTGAAAATTAAGAAAGGTCATCGGACTTGCCTAGGTGCTCGCCTATCCTGTCTAGCCCACTTAGATCCGCTTGGGTCGCGACTCTCACTTAAACAGAAAATAGATAACTATTTTGCATTTTATTTTTTCAATAATTATAACAGACTTGTCGAATGCTTGAAAGAACACTCATTCTATTCGCAAACAATTATGTATTATTTTTAAATATAAATAACCATTTATTTATATGTTATATAACCGATTAGAAGGGCAAAAGGGCTCGTCCAAAAAAAAGTTTATCAAATATATCATCCATAAACATAACAAATCAAAAGTTTCCAACACTCAACGATTGAGCTAAAGGTGATAAATGGCCGGGGGGTGCTGAGACGGCGCGCTATGGCCACTGCTGGAAGGCACTGACCGGTCGTTGTGGTTAGGTGCCCTCACCGGATCCCTATACGCATAAGGGATGGAACTATTCGGGCTTGCATGGTCCCTATACGCATAAGGGATGGAACTATTCGGGCTTGCATGGTCCCTATACGCATACGGGATGGAACTATTCGGGCTTGCATTGCGCACAGGTGTACGGCTTCCAGCTGATCCAAACTGTCCAGTCCTTCCATTTGCAGCTATCCTTGCCCCGTATCGTGCGACTAATGGGCTTATATCTGAAGTTACATGACTACTGCCCCCGAGTCCACAAGATGCAATTGCTGAGTTCGTATGTACATGAGACGGAGCCGTCAATCCATAGTCTCGAGCTGTCAAGTTCAAGCTGCTGGGTACGGGTACCAGGAGAGGAGCCCACCAAGTCATATGATCGAGCAGATAAGTCATTATTAGTGTCAGGAGCGTAGTGCGCTGAATCATAGTATCGAGCAGAGTATTCTGCACCTTGACCCATGAATGAGCCTCCTTGCTGATGATGAGATGCACGCAATGGGTTCAAGGTGGAAATGGTGCCATAAGAAGCATTAGGAGGAGTCGTTGCTTGTCCCGACATTCCTGCGGATGATAACAAGTATTCTGCACTTCGACTGTCATACAAGCTTACTTGCCGAATGTAAGATGGTTGTACAGAGCGTACTGTGGCTGGTCCTCTGAAAGAAACAGTTTGAGCAGCTAAAGCTGGAGCTGTTCGAGGATGCTTATTTCTGTTCTGCTTATTTGACTGAGCCGGGGCAGTACGTTTCTTTCCACTCAGGGATTGCGGTTGAGCCTCAGGGCCAGGAGATGTCAGAGTTGCTTTCCTCTCTTTTCTCTGCCGTCTCAGCTGCTTGATGCGTTTTCTGAGGGTCTCAGGAGAATATTGTGGTTCAACAAGCAGCTTGTAGGCCTCAATGCATCGTATTGTACCTCTTAGAGCAGCTATTTCTTTGTCTCTAGCCTCATCCTGCAGGGGATTTAATTAGATAAACTATATAAACATCCAAGTCTAAGGACAGTTGATGAGGCAAAAGAAACAACGCATATACCTGTGCTTTAAGACGCTCTTGGCCCCTCTTGGAACTTGTCCTTGCATCTTTGGTGACGAACTTTAAATGTGCTTTAAGCAAGGGTACAGGGGGGAACTTGTCAAACTGTCCAAATGCATGACTGAATCTAACAGCATCAAGGCGCTTATTCTCTGACACAAGCTTTTGGATGAGATCTGAGTCACAAAAAAAGTTTAAATAAATAAATTCAGGGTAAAAGGAGGTAGCAAAAACAAAAAACTAAAGATTTTCTTAGATCAAGACAATATATCAGGAGAGATTCTAGCAGAAAGTAACAGAAGACATCTAAGACAACAAGAGCATAGGTACCAGCAAGCTTTCTTCCCATGATTTCTTCTAAAACCATAAAGGCAACCTTTAGCCATGTAGCTGATACTTCTAGAAGACTAGTCTGGAAACTCCAAAAAATGAATAGTGTCACGTCTTAAAGACTTCTAAGATATGTTTCCATATAAATATGATGAGATTGAAATTGACAAACTCAGTTATCTTTCAGAAAACCGAACCTTTTATGCTACAATTGGGGTTGCCAGTTGCAACTCTAATTTATGTGATCCAAGTACCATGCCAAGATTATATGAGGACTTATTCGAGTGAAATAAACTTTACACCTTATCAAAATTGTCGACAAAATACAGCAAGTGACAGCCAAGAGCTATTGGAGCAAATTTCATTAGATATTCTTAGAGGACAGATTATCAGTGACAATTTTAAGAAGGGAACAGCAAATTAGTAGAAGTCCTCTTATTTATCTTAACATCTCATATTTCATGTGAACAGTTGCTCATTACACTTTGATATATCTCTTCAGTTTATCATGGCACTCTTCAAAATTTCCACACATCGTGTAATAATTCTTTACGATTCAAACTTAGAAGCAAAAAGAAAGCAAAGTAGAAAGGACAATTACATTCATTAAACGACTCACAGCACACCGTAATCATGAATAAGGTAAAAACACAGTTTTGGCAACAAAAACTCTCACTGCAAGTTGGAACAACTCTCAAGCACAAAATGATAAAAGCATGTTGATAGTGGCATGTTTGATAGTGAGGCCATGCTCGGTTGTGTGGTGATCAAATAAGGAACTTTCCACTTAAAAATAAAGGAAAACTAAAGAAAAGGACTTGAAAACTTTGAGTTTTAACGATAAGGGCAAAATAAAGGGCAAGGTGAATACTACCAGGATTGACTTTTTAGTGTAAAAATATGGTTTTTCG